ACCCATGCCACAGCCATACAACCAGCCATCCACAGCCACGCCATGGGCATCGACGCCAGAGGAGACACTCAGACGTCCACCGACACGAAGAACAGATGCATGGACCACAGTCGACAGGCGTCCACTTTGCTTTCACTGCGGAGGTGCAGGCCATATTGCCCGTCATTGCTTGCATCGAGGCGATTTATTCCGTCCTGTTCGACCTTGGTTTTACGGTCGACGTGCCAACGACGAATACACTCGACGCCGTGACGACACTTCCTTCTACGAAGCCCGTTCTCACTTTGAGGACGGCCGTACCACTGCAGAGGAAGCAATGCCTACTAACCCACCTGGTCTGGGACGCCAATCCCCCTCTCCATCTCCCGCGCGTTCTCCTTTGTCGCACTACCGCAGCTATGTGGACCTTAATAAAAAAAAGTTCACCTAGCCCACGCCGGGGAAACTGGGGGCGGTGACCTCCGGGGGCAAGGTTGCAGGCCATGAGGATGACGAAAAAAGCCCCCACTGCATGACGTCGTACAGCCGATAAGCCGTGAAAGCGATGAAATCGTGACTGCCGACCTAAGTATTCTTCTTGACCGCCAGCAAGTGACAGCTTTAGTCGACACCGGTGCCGACTTCTCTATTATCAGTCAGGACGTCGCCGACAGCCTCAGAAAAGTGAAGACGCCGTGGACGGGCCCTCATATAAGAACGGCAGGGGGCCAGTTATTGATGCCCTCTGGAAGATGTACAGCAAGAATTGACATCAGAGGTTCTCCTTTCACTGCGTCGTTCGTCGTTATTGCCGCATGCTGCAGAGATATAATCCTTGGCATGGATTTTTTACGAGAATATGGCGCCGTCATTGACATCCCAAAGAGTTTGATTACTTTCTGCAGCAGTACTTGCTTACCCGATTTTCCAGAGGCGCGAGCAAACCAACTGCGTCTTATTGATGACGACGTGGTCCTCCCTCCTAGGTCATGCACGCTTGTTTGTGTGGCCGCCACTGTCCAGTTTGACGCCAAAGGAGTTGCAGACCAAATAAGCTCGCTTCTCTTCACCCACGGTATTTTTGTCGCACGAGCTATTGTAAGAGTTGCTGCTGGACGCGCGGACCTACTGCTAACCAATTTTAGCGCTGAGCGCAGGCACCTTCCAAAAGGCACGGCTGCCGCTTACTTCGACAATGTCATAGATACCGAAGGCTGCTTGGCGGTAGTCGACGAGGCGCTAAAATTCGATTCAGCGCGTGTTCTAGACCTTAGCATTACTTTGCCGGAAGACGAGCGACGCAGACTCCTTGAGCTATTGGCCGAATACCAAGATTGCTTTTCGACAACATCAAGAGTTGGCCGCACGCCTCTAACCAAGCATCGAATAATTACCGAGGAAATGGCGTGACCTATTCATCAGAACCCTTATCGTGTGGCTCCAAAAGAACGCGAAGCGATACAACAGCAGGTAGACAGAATGCTTGAAGATGACGTCATTCAGCCTTCACAGAGCCCCTGGGCGTCGCCTGTGGTCCTCGTGAATAAAAAGGACGGAAGTCTGCGCTTCTGTGTGGATTACCGGAAGCTAAATCAGGTGACCAAGAAAGACGTATATCCACTACCTCGTATAGATGACTCTCTCGACAGACTTCGACATGCTCGATACTTCTCTTCAATGGACTTGCGCAGTGGATATTGGCAAATCGAGGTGGACCCGAAAGACTGCGAGAAGACCGCTTTTGTAACAACAGATGGGTTATATGAATTTAAGGTCTTGCCATTCGGTTTCTGTTCAGCGCCTTCTACCTTTCAAAGACTCATGGATACCGTGCTTTCCGGGTTGAAGTGGAAAACCTGCTTAGTATATCTGGACGATGTCATAGTGTTCTCCGCAACGTTTGACGAGCACCTTGAAAGGCTTGAAGGGGTCTCACGAGCCACACGGTCCGCGGGCTTGATGTTGAATCCTGAGAAGTGCCACTTTTGCAACGAAGAGCTGCAATTTCTTGGTTACGTCGTCAGTCATGCAGGTGTTCGTCTCGATCCTGAGAAAATCGTAGCCGTTGCACAGTTCTTTGTGCCAACCGATAAAAAGGCTGTCAGACGTTTCTTCGCCTCTGTGCATATTATCGACGATTTATCGCGGACTTCGCACGCAAAGCATCACCATTAACTCGCCTCACGAGAGAAGACGTTACTTTTGAGGGGAAGAACGAAGAGGAAGCGGCTTTTGACGATCTTTGTCAGCGACTACAAACACCTCCAGTCCTTGCCCACTTTAACGAGAGAGCCCCTACGATGCTCCATACCGATGCTAGCAATGTCGGTCTGGGAGCTGTGCTTGTGCAGCAGCAAGAGGGCGCAGAAAGGGTAATCGCTTACGCAAGCAGAACGTTAACACGTGCTGAGGCTAATTACTCCGAAACCGAGAAGGAATGTCTTACCGTGGTGTGGGTGGTTACAAAATTTCGCCCGTATTTATATAGCCACCCCTTTAAAGTAATTAGCGACCACCACTCACTGTGTTGGTTAACAAGCCTTAAAGACCCTACAGGGCAATTAGCACGTTGGAGTCTCAGGCTGCAAGAGTTCGATATGGTAGTAATACATAAGTCAGGCAAGCGACATATGGATGCTGACTGTCTGTCCCATTCACCCATTGAGTCGGCAACCCTACCCGAGGATGAGGAAATGGCATTTGTCGGTGTCCTCGACACGACCACAATTGCGCAGCAACAACGGGACGACGCTGAATTGCTTGGCATAGTTAACTACTTGGATGGCAGATCTCAGAAGGCACCGAGAGTTTTCGCAAGAGTGCTGTCATCGTTTTGTTTACGGAATGGAGTACTCTACAAAAGAAACTTTTTGTCGACGGGATCCGCCTATCTGCTCGTCATCCCTGCAGCCCTTCGCACCGAAGTACTCAAAGCATGCCACAATGAGGTGACCTCTGGCCATTTGGGTTACACGAGGACGTTGGTCAGGGACGTTGGCCAGAGTACAGCAAAGGTATTACTGGCCGAGACTAACCACAGCCGTGAAGCACCACGTTTGTACCTGTCTCGCTTGCCAGCGCCGCAAGTCACCACCGAATAAACCAGCTGGCCTCCTGCAAACCGTGCAGGTTCCAGCAGCCCCATTCTACTAGATCGGCATGGAAATTTTAGGCCCACTACCTACTTCTACTGCAGGGAACCACTGGGTTATCTTCGCGACAGATTATCTGACCCGTTATGCCGAGACAAAGGCTATCCAGAGAAGTACAGCAGCGGAGGTGGGAAGATTTTTCACCGAGAATATTGTACTAAGGCATGGTGCACCAACCGTTGTGATCACAGACAGAGGAACCGAATTTATGGCAGCTCTTTTGGATCACGTCCTGATGCTGAGTGGAACAACTCATCGTAAGACCACCGCCTACCACCCACAAACAAACGGGCTGACAGAGCGTCTAAACAAAACCATTGAAGGCATGCTTTCGATGTACGTAGACGTTGAGCACAAAAATTGGGGTGCAATCTTGCCATACATAACGTTTGCGTACAACACGGCCAAACAAGAAACGACCCGCATGACCCCATTCAGCCTCGTTCATGGGCAAGAAGTACGAACTATGTTCGATGCGATGCTATGTACCACATGAAGGTGACGACATCGACCCAGACGCCGACACGTTTACGGAACACGCGGAAGAAGCTAGGCAATTGCACGTTTACGGATCCGCCACAGCAAGAGTACGATGCAGACCGCTACAATGCTCACCGCAGAACAGTTGTCTATCAAAGTGGCGACAAAGTCTGGGTTTGGACACCCGTACGGAAACGAGGACTTTCCGAAAAGCTCTTAAGAAGATACTTTGGGCCGTACCGAGTGCTGTGACCACTGAGTGACGTCACTTACAAAGTTGTTCCCGACAGTTAGTGTAGTACGAAGCGTCGTCAGCACCATCCTGAACTCGTTCACGTAGTGCGCATGAAGCCTTACGTCAGCGAGTGATTGCGTGAGACTTTTCTTTACAAAAAAAAAACTGCATTATTGACCTCACATCGGGTCGATGCTCTTTGAGAGGGGGGCAAATGACCCGTGTCTACATGTAAACTAAAACGACGATGGGGGGATTTGGCGGACACTAGTTAGTGGGCCGGCTCGATTCTAAAACGAAGAGGACAATCTTGCGGCTCAGCTGTTCAGAACACGCTGCTTTCGCTGTCTCAAGGCGTACCTGTGCTTTGTTCACGTTGTACCGTGACAATATATATATATATATATATATATATATATATATATATATATATATATATATATATATATATATATATATATATATATATATATATATATTATATATATATATGGAATAGCCGCCATAGTACCTCAATTGATAAGACATCGAATGCGTAATTCGAAGGTCGCAGGTTTGGTTCCTATTCATGGAAAATTATATTTTCACCCACTTTTTGTTCATGCCATTTATATTACAATTCGGTCTAATAACTTTCCCTACACTTGCCTTGGCATTATAGACTGTTTGCAACGTTTCGCCCACTTTCGCCACCATGCATATATATATATATATATATATATATATATATATATATATATATATATATATATATATATATATATATATATATATATATATATATATATATATATATATATATATATAGTTATAATAAAAACTCACAGTTGGTATTGTCGTATATATACACGCTGAAGTTTTTTTTTCCTAAATTCAAGCGCACTCACATTACACGCTCATTACGCACCACGCCAACAATGCGTGATTGTGTGTGTGTGATTGTTTGTGGTGAGGGGGTTGAGGGGTTGGGGGGGGATGCTGTTGCCATAAGCCTACAAAAGCAGTCTACTGGTTCAATAAGCGTAAAATTACCAAACATGCCCAAATAAAAGAAATGCTAACTCGACAAGGAGGGCAATGCTTCGAAACATGGCCCTCCATGTGAGATCTTATTTCTAATTATCCAACTGGTATTCACAGGCAGATACACTCACTCTCTGCTTCCGGTACGGTGCTTATGTTGAAGTTCTCGATGGCCTTGAAGTTCTCCAGCACACTCGTGTAGTTCCAGCCCGTGGCGTTATAGTGTGTTTCCCACATGTTAAAATCATGCTTATTCCCGCGTACAAAGTTCATTGAGTTGATGGAGCTGGTGCCGCCCATAATTTTGCCTAGAGTCATCACAGCCACCTGTTCCATTGATGAAGTAAAATTAACTGCGATGTGAATGACTCGAGAAATATTACCTTTTTAATTAGACAGCGATGTCAGGAGAAAATTTTTTATTCTTACGATTACGACACAAGGATCAGATACGCAATGCCTATTGGTAGTAGTCACGCTAACGAGTGATTCATGTCTTTTTCCCACCTTGAAAGCGACTTTAGAGATGTACTGGGTCTTTTTCCCTGAGCATTTTCATGAAATTTAAGTTCAATGTTTTCGATGGAGGCGAAAATACTGTAGGCCCGTGTGCTCAAATTTGGGCGCATGTTAAATAACCTCAAGTGGTCGAAATTTCCGGAGCCTTTCACTACGGCATCTCTCATGATCGTATAGTGGTTTTGGGACGTTTAACTTCTCATATCAATATCGAATAAACTCAAAAATAAGCGTTCACATTTGTTATAAACAACACAAATACAAGAAGACAATAACGAATAGTGGGACCACGAGGTTCATATGAGGACGAATTCCCAGCAAGGCTGTATTTATATTTCGGCTCTAGACGCTTTCTCCCTCTTTATATATATATATATATATATATATATATATATATATATATATATATATATATATATATATATATATATTGTTGCTCTTTGCGTATTTATTCGGTCCCTTGCCAAAGGCCGGTCTGCCAGGCACTGGCCTGTCATGTGCAATAAAGTAACATTTAGGAATTGAAAAAAATATTGCCATGAAGTTAATAGGGTATTATTATAATAAAATAGAGACTCATATTCTGTATTTTAAACAAAACATTCTGGATTTAATAAATCAAAAGTAACAGGAAATAGTCGGATGACAACTCAAACTTACCTGCCCAGGGAAAGAGAGACATGACTTATTTTGTGGTACAGTGACGTACATCCAGCTGTTGTTCTCGTTGGCGGCAAGAAAAGAAAAGAAAGGAGTGGCCAAGTCTAGTGTCTCGATGCCTCCAGCCTCGAGGAGCAGTACATTAAATGTTCCGTTCGCAGACAGTCGGTTGGCCACAACGCTCCCCGCTGAACCGGCACCCACTGCAATGCCCACAACAGATGAACAATGTTACCGGAGAAAGGAAACATTCGACCTTTTTAGCCCACGTAGAGTCATAAAGTTATTGTTCTAATGGTATTTTGTGTAGTCTTGGATTAAATGATATCGTCTAAATTATTCACTGTGCACTAGATTCCATAAATTGCCTGGTATGTGAAAAACTTCTGCACTCTTCGTTACAATTCTGTTATTTTCGTTTTGTTTGATTTCAACTCGACCACACCATCGTCCCAGTGACCGCTCCCTCCGCAATGACAACTGTACTACGGTCATGCATGCACCAGCATAATAACGGTGGTATACTGATTTATATACGCCGCGCGCCGCTAGCGGTAAGTGGTGGTATACGCAGATATCTGAAGAGCTTGAACGTATTTTATATAACGCAACGTTCCTGCATTGTGTTTTACGTGCAAAAAAAATGGCTACTTTCTGTACCCACTCACGATGTAAGAAGATAAAAATTTTGGCCCCGTATCTGCATGTTTCACTGCGAATGCCGTCGAAAGATGATAGTCTTGCGTCTGAAGAGTGATCAAAACGTTTATTTGATGTTCAGCGCGAGAAAATTGGTGAATTGTTTTCTGGAAGCACTGCGTTAGAGTACCTCGTTCCTTGCAGAAAAAGCGAACAAGCGCATCAAAGCACCTGCGACACGAGCGCTATCTGGCAGTTATCTTCGAAAACAAAGGAAGGCGTGCACGCCTGTCTCGGGGGCGATAAGTTGTAGAACGCAAAGCGATAGGAGTGTATCACCACCGTGTCGTCTTAGCAAAGCATTGCAAACACTTGCCTTTTTGCGCGCAGCATTGCATTGTCAGCGCAGCGTGATAAACGATATGGTCCTTGGAATTACTTATCTATGCTTTCTCTAGTATAAAGACACACACACAGAATACTGACGTGTAGTTATTGTGCCTCAGATATGCACAATAATTTCTTTGCGATTGACAATTGCCAAGTATGAACGCTGAAACTTCAGCAATTTGTGTGCGCTGCGGATAGGGTTGGATTAAGCTCGTTCGGAGTATTGTTTCGGTGGGCACACAGACAAATCGACAGACAAACAAACACACCAAAATTTTCGAGTCGAAGTACCCCAAGAAAGACTGTCGCCTTTAAAAATGAACGCCAGACAAACCTTGCCTCAGACGCCACTGCATAGCATGCAGGGTACGCAGAGGAGCCCTGCACGTGCCGAAATATCTAAGAGCATTGGGTTTTGCGTTGTCAGCACTTGCAGCACGCTACACAAATACGTAACAACTGTGGCAGCTGTTAGTTCGCATTCGCCATGTATATATCTGTGTGTTCTTTTCAAGCTTCCTTCTATAAGCTTCAGCGGCGCGCCGAAAGTTTTGAGCTTCTTGCCGTCGTTCTTCGGGTGACAATCCAGTTTCTTGCTATCGCATTGATTGCTGCGCCCTTGTGGTGACACTGATTATTTTTATGTGCAGTACAGAGTGTTCTCACGCACTGTCACTATGTCATTTGAGTTGTTAATATTAATAAAATTGACTATATTGAATAGCACACATATGAAGTTTTATTCTAGCTGCCGTAAAACTGTTGGTTTGTTTGACTGCTGCGCCTGCCTTTTTGCCACCATAGTTCCACGGATTAGAAGCCCCGCCATGGTGGTCTAAGGTACTCACTCGGCTGCTGACCCGCAGGTCACGACACGACATCGAATCCCGGCTGCAGCGGCTGCATTTCCGGTGGAGGCGGAAATGTTGTAGGTCCGTATGCTCTGATTTGGGTGCACGTCAAAGAACCCCAGGTGGTCGAAATTTCCGGAGCCGTCCACTATATATACGGCGTCTCTCATAATCATACGGTGGTTTTGGGACGTTAAATACCACATATCAATCAATCCACGGATCAGAATGTTTACTTTTGCTGATCAGCTAAAGAACAACGTATATTAAAGGTATACAATCATGAATCAGATAATAATTTCCTGTTTCACAATTTGGCTATGGAGGCACCAATGTACTGTTCTAAATGTGTATATTGGTGAGGATTAGAAAAACAATTGCGGCAATGTATTGTTGCGACTGTCTCGCTTTATGTAATCATCTCCCGAAAAGGCGTATGTAAACTCCAACCTACGTATTTCGTTTCATATGCATGGCATTTATTTCTTCACGTGGAAAATTTTCATGCTACTCTCGCTGCAGTGTTTCCTTAATTAACCCTTCTTCTATCTTGTTCCACCCTTTTTTTATAATCATCACATTTCTATTTATATTGAAAAAGAAATAGTAATCCGGAGACCGAACAATCACAAACAAAAATGAGTACATGGTTATATCTGACCAAAGGCCCTGCTCGAATGCTTCGACCAGGACAGTCAGAAGGCCCTCGTCACGTGCGGCGGAGTAGCGGCTATGCTGCAGATAGACTCCTGTAGGGAGAAGCCCTACTGGCTGTTCGTCTCCTCCGGGAACTCGAAAGTGAAGATGATCTCCGCGGAGCCACTTCATATCTACTTGAAATAGTTTATTCTGCTATTCTTCCGGAACGACAGATTTTCGTAAACAATAACACATCAATTGTGTATTCAAAACCAGAAGGGTGTCCTTGTTATTGGCGCACATTTGTTTTGCCATATCGACAAAAAGCAAAGCAACTTACCCACTACAAAATCATAGCATGACGAAATATTCTCCTTTGTCACATATAAGCTCATTACGTATTCCATATATTGTCGCATCTTTTCCATTTGCTGAGCATCTTGACTATCCGTATCGTTAGAAGCAGCACAAACAATTAATAATGCAATTACCACAGTTAACCGTGCCATTATTATTCCCATGACGACTGAGCAGCAGTCGAAATGCAGTAGTCTGAAGCTCTGAACCAGCACGGTGCTCAAATCAAATCTTGACCCTCTACTATCTCACTAATGCAAGGCATAGTAGTATACGTCTTGTGACCGGTGACATCCACAAAGGCTTACAGCTAGCCACGGGGAATGTATGAGCGCAGGCTCTCGATGCTACGTAGGAAGTTGCCTCATACGAAGAAACCAATGACAATATCAAAAAGAGAGGGAGGAGGCATCATCAATTTTCATTTACAGGCGATATTTTATATGTTCAGGAGTTCTACGTTAACAATGGACACTACGTTTTCGCCCCGCCATGTTTTGAAATATGCTTTCAACCGTTAGAAGGGCGTTACCAAAAATTTTAGCATTATTGAGTTCAGGTGTGAAAACCTGTCCTTCAATTCTTTAGTTTGTTTGTCAGTTTTGTTCGTTTGTTAGTGCTGCCCATCTCACAAATGAAAACAGCTGGAGCTCCAGCAGTTCACTTTAAAATAATCCCGCAAGTTCTTTATCACTTCACTGAATTCTTCATTATTGTTCATATATATATATATATATATATATATATATATATATATATATATATAGATATATATATATATATATATATATATATATATATATATATATATATATATATATATATATATATATATATATATATATATATATATATATATATATGTGTGTGTGTGTGTGTGTGTGTGTGGACATGGTGTACCTCTGTCGCAAAATAAAACCTTTGTATAAGCTTTATTCTATGGCTGTCTTTAGTCATAACGTGGACACAACTATAGAAACAGCATTAAAGCACTCTAATTTTCATGGCTCAGTTGTTGTTTACTTCTGGTATTTACTTACTCGCCATGCAAACATGTTCCTTCTGTGCATTTACGTATACTTCCTCTAAGCATGTGACAACAGTTTTACTTTTTTATAGCTTGGCCACTGACTTTTATTTCGAGAAAGAAAAACTGTTTTGGTATTGACGCCATGACATTTTGTATAGTGCAGACGTGCTCATGACGTTGCAAACAAACTAAGGGCAAATAATGTGGTAATTGTAAGGTAAAGAGGTAATACTAAGGAATAAATAGTTGAAAAGTTTACGCCAAAAGTTTACCAAAAAAAAAAGAATGACAAAGAGCACTAACACATTCAGCGACATCGGGAAACAAGCGTAATATTTTTTTTAAAACAGTGGATCTGTTAGAGCGGATCATAATAGCCAACAAGGCATCAGGTGGGTAGAGAGAGAGAAAATAAAATGAGGGAAAGGAACGGAGGTTAACCAGAAATTACAGCATCCGGTTTGCTACCATGCACTAAGGGAAGGGAGAATGGGGAATAAAGATAGGAAAGAAAGCGAAGAGCGAAATAAGCGCGCGAAAGAGAAAAGAAAAAAAAAAGCGAACTGGGGTGCTATAGTTTATTCAATAGGCCACTACCACGCAAAAATTTCAATAAGGTCTTCACAAATTTTCTGTGCGAAGACAGATTATGTCGCCTTTTGAGCACTGTATGTTCTGACAAGGATATGTCGTCAAGGCGAGCTAACGCAGCAGCTACCTGCTGCGTTAGCTCGCCTTGACGACATATCCTCACTCTGCTGTCTCACTCTGCTGTCTCACTCACTCACTCTGCTGTCTTTGCACGCTGTAATGAGGGCAGTGACAGAGAACGTGCTCTATCGTTTCATCGCTGCCGCAATGATCGCAAGCAGCACTGTCTTCCATGGCGATTTGGAAGGCGAAAACTTTGGTCAAAGCGACACCAAGCCACAGTCGACAAAGCACTGTTGTCTCAAGTCGAGATAGTCCGGACGGAGGCCGAAGTCGACGAGACGTGTCCAGCCTATGCAGTCACGTGTGTCGTAAGCACTCAGTGTTCCACATAGATTTTACTTCTTCATTACCGATTTTTCAGATTTTCATTGCAGCATCAGTCCTTGAAAATGGAATGAATTCTTCTTCACCATCTTACCATCTTCGTGTGCTGATCGAGCAGCTGCATCGGCATGTTTGTTACCCAATATGCCGCAGTTACTTGGAAGCCACTGAAACGCGATGTCATGTCTTTCGTCGAAGAGGTGGTGAAGTAACTCTCTATTTTCCAACACTAGTTGTTCATGAAGTCCCCGACGTAAGAACACCAAACACTGTAGTGCTGCTTTGGAGTCCGTGAACACGCTCGATTTCTTGGTGTTCAATGACTTTAACTGTGCTGCGTAGAGCAGCAAGTTCCGCAGCTGTCGATGACGTCTGGTGAGATAACCGAATCTTCGTAGTTGTCGCTGTTGCAGGAAATATCACCGACCCTGCAGACCCATGTACTTTAGTAGAAGCGTCAGTACATAAATGGTTATGCTCACTGCACTTCTCATACAACAAGAGAAGAGAGAGCTGCTTTAGCGCTGGAGGTGAGAACCGAGCTTTTGACCGTATGCCTGGAACTGTGAGTTCAACATGTGGATGAGTCATACACCATGGGGGAGTTGCAATTCTGGACGGAGTTGTACATCCTGTGGTATGCGTGTACGATATTTCAAGACCATCTTGCAAAATGAGGCACGAGGTCGGTATTCTGGCAGTAAGGCTAGATTATGGGCAGGGGCGCGAATTAGATGCCTCACGTTAGCTCTGAGCACTTTCATTACAATATGCGTCTTGAGCGGGTAGTCATTAGCGATCGCAATCGTCTCAATTGTTGACGACCATTGTGGTAGCCCTAGACAAACTCGCACAGCCATAGCCTGGATGCTTTCGTGAGTGCGAATGCTCGTTTGGCAGGTATTGGTCAACACAGGCAAGCTGCATCGAAAATAGCCGAGAAAAAGTGTCTTGTACAATTGCATCATTGCATGCACTGAAGTTCCACAGGTTCTTCCTCTAAGATACTTGAATAAGTTATCAATGTTTGTCAGCCTCTTCTTCAAGTGGGCCACATTTGGGCCCCAGCCGAGGTCTCTATCAATGTACACGCCTCGAAATCTGTGCATCCTGACATACGGTATGTCTTGGCCATCGATAGATATTGCGTATGGTCTCGTAGGCTTTCGACTAAAAGAAATGTATGTGCATTTCGCTCCCGAGATCTTCAGACCCTGTTTATTGAGGCACATTGATACCAACGTCGCAGCTTTCTGAAGTCTTGCGCGTACCTGAGGTTTTGTCACGCCAGAAGCCCCGACGCAGATGTCGTCAGCGTACATAGATAGCGTGACTACACTTGGTAAGATGATCAAACGAGTACACATGTGCGAGCATTAAACGAAAACAACACGTGAAAGATGGAGAGAGAGGCAGAAAAATATTGGGCAAGATTAAGTAAAAAAAAAGAGAGCAAAATAGGGAAGAGAGTAAACGATCGAAGGAAAGAGAAAGAGGAAAATAGTGAGAGACAAAGGAAATAAAGACATGTATGATAGACGAAGACATCGACAGAGTAAAAGAGAGAAAAAATCAGACAATCGAAAAAATAAAGAGAGCATAATAAAAAATATTTGGCGCCTAATGTCCCAAAAGCACGATATGGTTATGAGAGATGACGTAGTGGAGGGCTCCGGAAATTTCTAATACCTTGGGTTCTCAAGCGTGCACCGAAAAACTGTGTACACGGGCATCAAAGATTTTTGCCTCCATATAGAAAATGCAGGCACCCTATAGCGAGAATTCGATCCCACGACCTTCGGGTTAGTAGGCGAGTGCCATAATCACTAGACCACCGCGGTGGAGCAGGAAAAAAGAGCAGGAAAGAAACCAAAGAAAAAGTAATGAATATACACAAAAAAAGAGAAAGCGACAAACATACAAGAAGAAAAGGAAGCGAGAAAGAGAAAAAATGAAGATATATATAAATTAATAGATAGAAACGGATATCAAGGAGAGGAGTTTCAGGAAACTGGGAGACAGAATAACAAAGAAAAAAGAAAGACAATAAAAATTGTTGAAAACACTTTGGCTTTTTGAGCATAGCGTTGCATTGTCAGCACAGCGTGATAAACGCTACGGTCTTTAGAATTACTTATGTATCCCTTCCCTAGTAAAATACACACATAAAGAATACTGACGTGTTGTTATAGTGCCACAGATATGCGCAACAGTTGCTTTTTAACTGACAATCGCACAAGTATGAACGCTGGATCTCGAGCAATATTGGTGGGCGCTGCGGAAGGGGTTGGCTGTTTGGTGCCGTTTGAGGTATCAGTAAGGGTGAACAAACAGACAAATGTACAGACAGACAGACAGACAGACAGACAGACAGACAGACAGACAGACAGACAGACAGACAGACAGACAGACAGACAGACAGACAGACAGACAGACAGACAGACAGACCAAAATTTTTTCCATCGAAGGTCCCCAAGAAAGACTGTCGTCTTCAAAAGGAAGAGATAAAAATGACGCTATTTTCTGCCTCCCATCGCGGGGGAACGGCACAGTGCCTGCGCGTCTGCAGAATCTCGTTCATCGACGCCATCACGCGATTGGTTAGAGAGTGTAAGGGGGAGGGGCCACAACCATTCACACGGTTACTAATGCAGGCCCGAACATATATAGCGCGTGCCAACGCGGTCTGACTACGATACAACGCGTAGGCTCATCGCGCCTCTGCGTAATCTCACTCCCCGAAGCCATCACATGATTTCTGGGAGACTGTAAGGGGGAGAGGGCCACAACGCGGCCCCATACACAGGCGGAACGCGCTAACGCTAGCGCATGAGCGTGATGTGGCAGTGCTTGGGCCAGCTGTTGCGCATGTGCATCAGCGATGGTGACGCCGTACGCCACCAGATTGAACTCTGCCATAAGCTGCTGATTGATTGATTGATTGATTGATTGATTGATTGATTGATTGATTGATTGATTGATTGATTGATTGATTGATTGATTGATTGATTGATTGATTGATATGTGGGGTTGAACGTCCCAAAACCACTATATGATTATGAGAGTACCATAAGCTGCTTCGCATGTAAATGGAAATCATTTGGATAGGCCTTCATACCAGAGTGGACTAAAAGATGTAGGGTGAGAAGAATGAGCAAGATGAGGAGTTCCGGTACGTTTGTGACAATGAACGGCAAACTCTTGTATCGTCCGCTGTTTGCACAATTTTTCGAGATTGTCTTGGACACTCCCCATACGCATCAAGAAAATGTTAACGAACATTATATTGTTCGATCCCAGCCCCTCACATTCGTGGGTGAC